CGGGAATTAGGAGAGAAAACAAAAAGAAAAAAAAATGACTAAGCGCTACAAAATGCAGAAAATAGTGGAGAGCCATGACCATCAACGTACTGAAGGTATAGGGCATATAGAAAAAGAACGAGTTTGTGTAAATAGCAGAACGTGGATTAGGAGAGATAACAAAAAGAAAAAAAAATAACAAAGCGCTAAAAGTGAAAGGAAGTAGTGGAGGGCCATGACCGCTAACGTCCTATTATTTTATTGCTTAAGCTAACTAAATAGAAGGAATACAAAAAAAGGCGTCTGTGCGTAGAGAAATGCCGTTCTTCGCACGAGGGACAGAGGGGAAACGGTCAATCGCCTATCATCCATCACCCCATGGCGTATACACGATCAATGTTTTCCACGGTGGTGGCAGTCACGGAACGTCCAGATCTTGAGTCAATTTTAAGATACTCTCTTCCTCCTAAATTAAGCTGCTAATTTTTGCCCAGTTGATAAATCTGGAGGGTCTGACCCTACTGTCAGCGTGAATGTTATTGGGAAATAAACCACCTTTTTATGCAAGAACACCACGATGCCGAATTTTGTCCATTTTCAAGAGAAATCTCTACTAGTTAATTTTGAAGTTTTCTTTGAACAATCTGGTGTCAGTTTACCTGGAAAGAAACAACAAAGTTATTAATAAGAACAGTTGAAATGAATGCATGCAAGATTTCATAATTCTAGCGTCACTCCTTCATAGTCAGCCTATGAACATTTCAGCCCACCCTTGTACCTGGAAGGAAACAATGCAGTTCTTAATAAGAAGAGTTGAAATGAATGGATGCAAGATTTTACAGCTCCAGCATCCCTCCTTCATAGTCAGCTTATGAACTTTTTAGCCTACCCTCGGACTTGGAAAGAAACAATGCAGTTATTAATAAGATTTGAAATGAATGCATGCAAGATTTCACAGCTTCATAGTTAGCCTATGAACTTTTCAGCCCGCTATCGTAAACCTTTAATAAAAAGTTGAAAAATTTCCCCGTTGTAAATGATAAGCCTATAGATGATCGTACATTTTATTTGAAATGCCAGACAAATATGCTCGCTCTTTTATTTCTTAAGCACAAAATTGTGACCAACAACAGGAGATTCCCAACCTGATTTCCTATTGAGTGGGTGAAAATAACGAGCAGTATCAAAGCGACCGTTTAATTTGTCCTTAAGTGTGCCTTTTCTTTTATTCAGCAGAAACTGGTTAAAAAAAATCTGTTTGTTTGAAAAATTTAGTCGAACTCTTGTGAATTATTTGTTTTGCTGGCTTTGGTTGGGGCGGGTGAGGTAGATCAGCCAAAGAGCAAAAAAGAAAAAAATTGGGTAAATAATGCTACAAAAAAAAAAAAAGGGTAGTTGAAAAATGAGGCCAAAAAGTTGCCTCGTGCTTTCAAGCCGAAATATTCTCTTAGCGACTGAAGGACAAAGGAGGCGTTTTCTGAATTTGCTCCCTTAATAAAAGATCACATTTTTCTTTCATTTCTTAGAAAAGGCCAGAAATAGCATTTAACATAGAAATCGGACTGACGTCATTAAACTTTTTCTTCATATACTGTTATATATATATATATATATATATATATATATATATATATATATATATATATGTGTGTGTGTGTGTGTGTGTGAAAAATATATAGAAAATAGGAAAGAACTCGTTAGGTAAATAATCCAAAGTTCTTTTGTTATTACTTTAAAAACAAAAAACAAAACCAGTGCTCCATACAAAAGTAGAGCCTAAATATAATTATTTATTTAAAAATATGATTCCATCGCTACATAAGAGTTCTCATGTTTCAAAATATATTATTATATTGAAGTTTTCGGCTCTTGTTTTGAAACATGAGAACTCTTATGTAGCGATGGAATCATATTTTTAAATAAATAATTATATATATCTAATAGAACATGCTTTTAAGGTATGCGATAATTATGGAATAAATTGTTCAATACCAAGGATAGAGCGTATGTAAATATAAAAGTGGACATTGAAGTCAACACCCAAAGGCAACAGTCTGTTTCGTGCTTAACGCATAGCGTGACTATTGCGTTTAACAGATATTTCTTTATATATGTTTTAAACATGTATATGTATATATACGTGTGTGTGTGTTTTACACATACATATATATATATATATATATATACATATATATGTTTTATCTCTCTATATGTTTTTACATATATATGTATATATATATATATGTGTGTTTTTTAAACATACATATATATATACACAATGTAATGTACATATATACACACACACACATATATATATATATATGTATATATATGTATGTTCTATATCTATATATGTTTTTTATATGAATAACTTTTTTATATATGTATATAAATTTCATATATGTTTTATATATTTCATATATATATTTTGTTTTATATACATACATATATATATATATATATGTGTGTGTGTGTGTGTGTGTGTGTATATTTTATCACTCTAAACGTTGTTATTTTCTTAGTCGATATTTGTATTTGAGTAGTTTCTTTATTAAACAATATATTTGTTTATTTTCACCTACCGGCCTGAATGTTCGAGAAATCTTATTAAACAAAAGGAATTGGACCTTCGTCCCCCAGTGCTGAGGGAGCCACCGTTTAGCCCGACCGGCCTTATGAGTCTTACCCTCTGGCCTGAAATTTTGTTTGTCGTCCGAGGTCCCGTATGTCTTTGCAAAGTCGTACACCGTGTTTTTTTTTTGGGGGGGGGGATAGTTAAGCCATTCAATGATTTCCTTGGCTTTGTGATCGACGAGAAGGCTGTCCACAACAACAGATCGACAATCGTAACCGCAAGATATGTCAATTACTAAGCTCACCGTGCGTCAATCGTCAGACACCTACTGAAGAGTCTAGAAACCTCGCTACACTGTAACGCCAAGGTGGTGTTGCCACGTAAAAAATCCGGATTTACCTGCGCCACACACACTATATATATAATTATTTATTTATTAAAATTTATAACATAAATATGTTATAAAATCTCTACAAAAATAGCCATTTTTTTTCAACACCTCCGGTGTCTTATCAAGTGATGATGCTGAATTTAAAAGAAATGGTTTTAAATGTTTCAAATTAATTAACGATCCTTCGCAAGGGGAAAACGTTGACACAAAATGGCTATAAATTTTTTAAAATAAGTAATTATATCTGCTCTACTTTGTATTGAGCACTCTCTTAAGAATAGTAATTGTTGGTTATTGGAATTCATTCCGTATACACCAATTATATACTTGTATGTATATAATATATATATATATATATATATATATATATATACATATACACACACACACTTTTTTTTTTGAAAATCAATGATTAAAAATTGATACAAGCGAAAGGACTCTGTAGATTGTTCCCGAGATCATAATTTTTTTGCTGAAGCTTTTAAAATTATCTCCCCAACTACATTCAAACAAAGACACATGGTCATGCTGCCTGAAAGTAACCTGTAATGTCACGATCTACCACTCACCAAAATTCTCCTTGTCGTAGAAAGCAGATTCGGAGAGAAAGACATAATGTAAGTAAGGATATAATCATTAAAAGACCAAACCATAGACGGCGTATAAAAAAAAATTTATAACAAGCAAATAAAATAATATGTACATGTGTGGTTGATGTAATATGTACATGTGAATCTTTCGTTTTGTTAACGAAAGATTCATCCACATCTTAATGAAGACTATACACAGCTAAATCATTTAGATGACGCTACATATCACAAAGAGCTTTAAATACAACGAAAGCCACATGACTTGACTTCCGACTGCAGCAACAAAAATATATTTGAAGACAATTATATTAAAGCCTAATAATTATAATAAATATTAAATTAATATAAAGTGGGGTATCGGTTTTCTATTATTTTAAAGTAATAAACTGATCCCCCCAACAATTAATACATATTAATATAATAATTGGAAAAATATATTGAAATGCTCACGTGTGAAAAGCTAATAATAGTAAAGACCTAACAAAATATGGCATCATCTTTATGGCATAGGTCAACGAGTATGAAGATCAGATTCTAATGGACATAAAGTGGGGGATCGGTTTTCTATTATTTTAAAGTAATAAACTGAGCCCCAGGAATTACTACACATTTATATATAATGTATAGAAACAAACAAATTTATCTTTAAGATTTCTAAGTATCAGGGATTTTGATGAAAATCGAACTCTTAAACTGAAGTTTGACTTGACAGTCTAACTCATTGGCATTATTTTCTCAAAGTTGTACCCTTTTTTAACTGTCAATTTTTGATAAAGTATAAAAGTTTAAAATCAAGATTTTCAGATAAAGACTTTTTTAAGCTCAAATGTTTCTTATAAGGTGTTTGAAAGTAGACTTTCTTCCTGGTGATCAGTTAATGAAACTATTAAAAGCCTATCATTTTATGATAAGTGAAATTTCAAGAGGACATTTAACTTCTGGAACTTGACACAATCTAATCGAGATTTTCATGGTTAGCAAGTTTATTTGATAAAATATCCTTTAGATAAAGAGTTAAAATGAAACTAATGACGTACATTTAAGAAATTAGCCTCGCTTTAATTTTCAAAATTCACTTACATTCCACATTTTTTTTTTTTTTTTTTTTTTTTACACACAGAAAAAGTGATGTACAAATATTTTTTCCAACGAATTTTATTGTAGACTTTGGAGCAGAAACCGCTTAAACGTTTCTTTTTTAAATTTCAACATTATTACTCGGATATCAAGCAGCAAAAACGCTAATACCCTCCCAAGATAATTTTATGTGCTAAACATTTCAAACAAATCTAAAAGTTCTTTTTAAAAAGGGATTTAATACACACACACAAAAATGAATTAAAAAAAAAAATCTTTGGTTTTAAAATAGTTAAATATTTTAGAACAAAAAGTTAGGTAAAATATACTGTCATATATTCATTCAGAAATAAAACAAAAATCAAGGGAGAGGTGTGATTAGCTAATATTAGTTCTTTTGTATGGAAACAGCGTGATCATTGTATCTCAATGGTCGTTTCCTCGAAGACGGTGTATAATTTGGTCGAAAGAGACATTGAGTAAACATTGTGTGACCCCCTAAGCCATCATAACCTTTTCTAGAATTCTGAATCACTGGTTTGTCGGTGGGTGTCAAAGCGCTGAACTTAGCGTCGCTGAAGAGTTCTGAAGAACCAGCGCTGGAGAACTTTCTCGATAATTTCGAAGACGTCGCAGCGGTGGTGATTTTTATAGAGATTTGGTGAATCCTGCCATCGTTTGTGGGAGCAGAACGCTGGGAATTAATGCCATCTAAAGGGGACTTGACTAAAACACGGCGTATGGGTCGATCACCGTTGCCTGGGGTCGTGCCGAGTTCTCCAGGAGAACTACCGTCGACGCTAATCAAATCGGCTTTCTGCAGTTTATCTCCGTTTTTGTTTGGGCTTGTTAAACCGGTCGGCGACGAATCCTGCACTACGGAATGAAGTTTTTTCTTCAGTTCCAAAATCTGACGTTCGTTTTCGGTCAGTTCTTTTTCAGCACGTTCGTTCTGTTCCCGAAGAACGACATTATTGAATTCCACCTTTTCCAACTCGACTCGAAAAGACGCTAATTCTTTAAGAACTTTGTCTAACTCATTCCTCTGTGCTTTTTTATTTCTTTTACACTGTTCGTATTCTCGTTTAATTATAACGCACATACTAATCAGCCTATCCAACGCACCGGGTCCCTTCGCCGCCTTTTCCAGTAACAGTTTGCTATCACTCTCAGAGACTTTTACCAAATTCTCAATGTAAGAATATTTTTGAACTGTATTTTTCAGTGCTTTGTGTTCTTTATCGCGGGCTAACCATTCTTTTTCGCAAGACTGGTAAAATTTGAGCTGCTTGTTCTTAGCTTTTCCAGCTTCGACTAACGCATGCATTTTATTCCGAGTGTCCTCATACGCTATCGTCAGGGCGTCGTTACTCTCCCGTAAAGCTTGGAAGTCAGCCTCAAGTTGACTGGACTTGCGTTCCGATTCTGCCAATCGGGCCCTTATCGAACCCAGTTCGTTTAACAATTTTGGCGTACATTCTTCGTTCACGGCTGTTTTGGAGGCTTCGAAGTAAAGCTTAGACACGACATCTCTTTTGGACCAATACTGTCTGCAGGTTGGACAAGTTCGCGCCATTTCGAGCCATTTTTCAAGACAGTCTGCGTGGAACGTGTGGCCGCAGATGCCGGCAGAGATATCGATCTCTGTTAAGGACACAAATTGGTCGGAGCAGATCACACAATATGCGTTCATCACGGTAATGCTTGGACGACTTTATCTTCGTAAGCAAGGAAGGAAAAAAATAGCGAAGTTGTTAACTAAAATATGAGGAAGAATTAAAGAAAATAGTTTTGTGCTCTATTTTTATAGATACTATTGTTGGACATTATCCGTTCGAGTTTATCTCAGGTCATAAAAAAATAAATATTTATACAAGAATTAATCAGTCATTAAGCGAAACAAGATGGCAACGAACAGTTTGCATTAAAACCCAACAGATAAAAAACTTTTCGACACTTTTATGATTTGGGTTTTTCCTAGGAAGCACAATGGTTAGAAATATTCGCATTTTAAATACTTTCCGTCTATTCGTTACCTCTTACTTTCATTGTTCCTCAAGAACTGAGTTCCCTTTATATTTATTTATATATATATATATTTATATATATTATATTATATATATATATATATATATATATATTATGGTTTTATTGTGTATAATAATAAAATTTTTGGCACAACGCATAAAAGGGGGAATAGGTTGAGGCTGGTCGACACTAACTCTCCTAAGCTAATCAGATTCACGACCCATTCATTTGCTACAATTTGCACATCCACCACATCACCATTCAATCCTACATATAATACACATACACAGGGAACTTACAAAACACCCCATGACATAAAAATCCCTGTGTATAAAATTATAGATAAAAAATTTGTTAATAGTAAGCAATGAATGGAGACGGGAAAAAACAAAATAAAGATAACTGATGTTAGTAGGACTCTGTCTAATAGTATGTTTTATTTGACTTTTGGGTGTCATAGTTTCTATCTGTGACCAATAAACGAGATAAATAAATAGCAATACAACAATTATTTATCATTTTAGTAATTATAAAAAAATTATTTTTATTTATTTATCTATTATTATTTTTTTGAATGGGGGTTTTGCACATCCGTCTGTAAGGGTTTTTTTTGTGAATGGGGGTGTTGCACATCCGTCTGTAAGGGGGTTATTTTTTTTGAATGGGGGTGTTGCATATCCGTCTGTAAGGGGGGTACTTTTCAGCGCGTTCACGTCGCAACCAAAAGGTGGGTTTAAATTGCTGAAGACCTCTCGGCATTTTCCCTTTTTGAGAAAGCCTCGAGCTCCGGTCAATAAACCCTGCCCCTCCCGAAAGAGTGGTACTACCCTGAGGGATGCCACCCCGACCCCGGGCTTGAGCTTAATATTAATTTCAACTTGTGGTGGTGGAATCATTATGTGGTCATTACCGAGCTGCTTTCGCAGAACAGTTGACTGCTTGAAGTAAGTTCGATCCTCGCTGACTGCTTTCTTTGGTCGAATTGTAAAGCAGGTCGGTGTTTATCAGTGCCCCCACGAATGTGGCACAAGGTCGAGGTTTAAAGTGGGCTTACCGGCAATATTGTGGAAAATTGCACAAGCTCTCTGATTACTTCACCTATCTGGGGACGTCTCAGGCGCCAAGTAATGACGCCAGACTCCTCCAGAGGGAGAGACAATACCTGGGAGGTGGGATCGTCACCTCGGGCTTAAGCATAATATTATTTTGAAACTTTCCTGGCAAAAGTCAGGGAACTATCAATGAATTCTACTGCGACCAGAAAAACTTTTTTTTTTCCAAATAATAATTTTTTTTTGTTCACATTAGAATAGAGTAAGGATGACAGATCACGAATATTAAAATAAATAAAATATATTTTATGAAACTCAAGAATGGGGTCCAATTTACGCCAGAGAACTGTCATGCTGTTCATGGATAAGATACAATTTAACGCCCCCACCTGAAGCAAACGAAAACGTACAAAATTTAGAAATATGTCTGTGGATATATTTATGGCAATATTAGCCCGTCTCCCTGAAAAGATACATTTGGCATTTATTGACCGGTTGAAATGTATAAAAAGTTTCATACGGAAGGATTTTTTCAGGAAAATAGTTTTCTCAAGAAGCTGTTATTGATCATTTCAGTATTGATAGGGTTTTATTACCAATATATTGGTTGAAGTAGAGTGGAATATCAACATCTCAAAATCGGTTTCATATTATTTCAAAGTAATAAACTAATCACCCCCCAAGAATTAATACATATTAATATAATAATTGGAAAAATATATTGAAAGGTTCACATGTGAAAAGCTAATAATAGTAAAGACTTAACAAAATATGGCATCATCTTGATGGCATGGGTCAACGAGTACGAAGATAAGATTCTAATGGGCATAAAGTGGGGGATCGGTTTTCTATTATTTTAAAGTAATAAAGTGATCCCCCATACGAATTATTTCATATTAATTTTATAATTTGAAAATATATTAAAATGCTCACATGTGAAATGCTAATAATCGAAAAAGCTTAACAAAATATGGCATCATCTTGATGGCATGGGTCAACGAGTAGGAAGATAAGATTCTAATGGACATAAAGTGGGAGATCTGTTTTCTATTACTTTAAAATAATAAACTGATCCCCCATCAAGAATTACGACATATTAATATAATAATAGTAAAGACTTAACAAAATATGGCATCATCTTGATGGCATGGGTCAACGAGTATGAAGATAAGATTCCAAGTTCACCGCCGCCTAGTTAAGGTGGTAGAGAACTTGAAGTGGGGAATTAACAGAAGATAACTGATAACTGACATCCACATGGAGCGAGAAGTCTATCCCAGCGAGCGAAATAAAGGGTTCATTTCGACTATCGAACCACCTGAAGAAGGACGGTGCGTACAAAGCCCGAAACGTTTTAATAAATATGGCAAAAAAGATGAGGAATAGTCCGAATAATATAAATAGTGTACATAATACCTCATCTAAGAAATATAGACAGATACTGAAGGGCCAAAACGTTGTAATAAATATGGCGACAAAGATGAGGACAATAGTCCGAATAATGTAAATAGTGTACATAATACCTCATCTCAGAAATATAGACAGATACTGAAAGGCCAAAACGTTGTAATAAATATGGCGACAAAGATGAGGACAATAGTCCGAATAATGTAAATAGTGTACATAATACCTGATCTCAGAAATATAGACAGATACAGAGAGTGTGTGTGTGTGTGTGTGTGTGTGAGAGAGAGAGAGAGAGAGAGAGAGAGAGAGAGAGAGAGAGAGAGAGAGAGAGAGAGAGAGCGTTTTCTATGTGTGTCCAATGTAGGTATTTAATGTTCGTTGTTGATTGTTATTGTTGGAGCTACAATCTCCCAATGGATATAAGAACCGATAAACAACATTCTTTTTTTTTGAGGTGATGCTACGTGACTTAATTTAATGTCTAATAAACGGTAATGAGTATTTTTTTTTTTACGTAAGACATTTTTATGATCGATAATAAATCTGAAGTATTTGTTGAGATCTATACCTTTTATATACCGGCCGATTATAATTTGAATAGCGACTTCGTTTTGTTTATACTTAGGATACATCTGGTTATCATAAAACAATTTAATGGAGTCATTATTTTCGTTTATATCAAATAAGTTGCGTTCATTATGTTTTTTCTAAATGTCTTTAAAACTGATCTTATTTCGTCATCACCAACATCGATTAGGAAATTGTTTCTGATTAGAGTTCATTTTATGTTGCTTAATTCTCTATAAAGCAACGTGTCCAAAGAGGAATCATTTTGCTATGTTTTTATAATAATTATTTTATATCTGCATCGTGCGAAAATGATTTCTTTTTCGATCATTAACCTGAAAACTCGAGTCATGTTCTTAAATAGCCTCGGCAAATCGAGACAATTCATATGAATTTCAACCATGCCATTAAACCCGTTCAGAAATTTCATAATTGTCAGCTGTATACACCGGCCTCCTAACATCGATGGTGAAAAAGAAAAAAAAAGTTTTGACAGAGTAAAGCCTAAGTGCCTTGGCAACGATCATCCTTCTTTGAACATTGTGAACTGGCGCTACACAATCACAAAGAACTGTATCAAATAACAGAAACGACATTACTTGGGGACTATCGACAGCAGAAACCACTAAAACGGATATCACATGTAACTCAAAGAGAAAATAATGAAGCCTGAGTGTCTTGGCAAAGATCATCCTTTATTTTAACATTGTGGACTGGCGCTACACAATCACAAACAAAGATCTGTACCAAATAACAGAAAACCATATCACTTGAGGACTTTCAACAGCTGCAACAACCAAAAATGGATATCACATGTAAGCCAAAGGAGGGATGATGAAGCCTGAATGTCTTGGCAAAGGTCATCCTTATTTTTTAACATTGTGGACTGGCGCTATACAATCACAAAGAACTGTATCAAATAACAGAAACCACATCATGGGAGGACCACTCATAGCAGCTGAAATTGACAGCACATGTAAGTCGAAGAGAAAATAATGATATAATCAAGATGTTGAACCTTCACGCTACTTCAAACAAAAGGCTAGGAAGGAAACCGCCATCAATACTGGAAAGAGCGATAACAGCTATTAGACTTGAAAAACCTGTTTTCGTAAAAAAAAAAAAAATCTGAAGAGGAATTTTTATAAATTTCAAACGAAATCAGTACTGACTGGTCGACCAATGAACGAATAATATTTCCTTGTAGTGAAACGGCTAATATAACTATATATATATATATATATATATATATATATATATATATATATATATAATGTATTCTCGTGGTTGAACGTCCGATTTCCAACCAATAATAAAATAAAATAAAGAAAGCATGGTCTCATGCCTGCTAAAGAAATCATTTGTATTTACAAACATGTGTACATGAATTCAACAGAGTAAAAAAAGATTAAAAATAGTCTTTAGTTGAGTTAAAATCTTTGGGTAGTTGATCCACGGAAATATTTGATATTTAGAAAAGACTTTGATCATCAGTGAATATTCACTGACCGTCCGAGCTGTTGTTGTTGGAAATGATTCGTTTGAAGTCGCCGACACATGTTTCTTTCAGCAAGCGCTGGGGGAGTGCGTAGGGGCGGGGAGAAAAATGCAAAAAAATTGTTGTATTGTGAAATATTTT